TTTGTGGTGGTAGGGACTCCACACCATATGTTAACCTCCATTCTCTCTGCTTTTCTATGCAGGTCCCAGACTCTCTCTCTCTCTCTCTCTCTCTCTCTCTCTCTCTCTCTCTCTCTCTCTCTCTCTCTCTCTCTCTCTCACACACACACACACACACACACACACACACACTCGCTTCCCTACCCGCTCGCCTTTTAAACTTTCTTCCTTCTCCGCTGCCTGACTTTCGCCTGTCCGATTCCACCTTTCAACTTCCACCCTCCATCTCCCCTTTCCCGATCTTCCCCCCACCAATCCACTTGTTCCCGTCCTCTTCTTTCCTTGTCCTGTGTCTCTCGCCTCTCTTTTTTCCCCGCCTGTCTCCAAGGGATCCTCTTCGAGCTCTTCCTCTTCTACTACTCTCGATGTAACCCCTGCGGATCTGGTATGTCCTTTCTTACTCTGTCCGTCACTCTTTCTCTCTTCATTGCTCTCTCTCTCTCCATCACCTGCATATCCACATTTACCCTATCCCTTTCTATCCCTCTCGTGATTCAGGCCCTTCGTCATTATCCTGCTCTCTCCTTTCCTTACCACCTGTTCCCCTCCTCCCTCCGCGCTGAGCCCCTCGTCTTCCCTTGCAATCTCTTCGCTTCTTCCCCCCCTTTTTCCCCGAATCCCCATACACGACCTGCATTCCTTACCCTACCCTGTTGCCTTGGCTTTCTTTGCCCTGAGCTTCGTCTGTTCCTACATTCTTGGGCGGGATTCCGACACCTTCTTCTCCTCTCGATCCCATATCCCTGATTAACCCCCTGCCAATCCGCACTGCCCATCCCTTCATCCCAAAATGGGTCCCCGACCTACATCCTCCTCCCATTCACCTAATGACCCTCCTCCTTCTCCTTCCTCCATCTTCGAATCCCATCATGACCGACCAGATCCCGACCCTCTCATCCTCCTGATGCCGCATCCTCACCCTCCCCCTTCGTCCTTCTGCAGCTACTCTACCCTCTCAACATTTCGATGGCGACCTTCTCCTGCCTCCCTGACCAGGCACTTCACCACCCCCTACTCTTCCCCTGCCTCTCCACAGTCACGGCATGATTTCTGCCTACTCCTACCGATAGCACCCGTGCCCAAAGCCTGTCCCACTTGCAACATGGCAAACCCACAGAAATGGGAGTTGCCCCCCCCTAAACGTGCGTGGATGGAGGAAGGAGGGAAGGAAGATGTCAAGGGGGTGGGGGGGGAGAGGGAGGGGGCGAGACACAGAGAGAGAGAGAGAGAGAGAGAGAGAGAGAGAGAGAGAGTGCACTTCGCGCACACCGGGCGAACCCACCTATCTGGTTTTGGGGCAGTGTGTGACGGGACACACAACACGCTAGAGAGAGAGGGGGAGGGGGAGGGGGAGAGAGAGAGAGAGAGGGAGGGAGGGAGGGAGGGACGGAGAGAGGGTGCGCTTCGCCACGTTGCGCGGACTCACCTACTGGACCGAGTGTGACTGGAACTCCTCACACCTTCGGGCACAACACGCCCGGCACGGAGAGAGAGAGAGAGAGAGAGAGAGAGAGAGAGAGAGAGAGAG